GCCACTCGCTCGTGCTCGCCTCTCCGTCACCGATCGACTCCAACCGCTCGCCCGATGGTCTTGACTCGTCCCATGGGTCCCAACCTTCCAACCCAATGTAATCTCCGGCACACCATATTCAATCATCTTCCATCCTTTGCACTCCCTGTCTTCTAGCCTCCATCTTCCATGCTCGCTTCTTTCTTGCACAAGGCCCACACCAACAACCTGCCTTCTTTTGCCTTGCGTTGTCTATTGGCCTTGCGTTTCCTAGCCTTCAACTTCAACCTTGGTCCACATCTCTTTGGCCAATCTCTCACGCATGATGGTCGATAAATCGGACTAGATGGCTCTTCGAGCATGTTTTCTAGCCACATATCGAGATCTTCGACCATTCCATCGCTTGACTCACCGGGATTGATGACCACTTCCGTATCAGTGTGCCAGGGCGCACCTAAATATTTACGGGTTATTATGGTTTGGTCCAAATGCATGCCAACAAACTGGCAAAAATAATGGGCTAATGACTACCTATAGAGTATAGGGTGAGTATTTGGCACAAAATTGGTCCAAAATGTACAATATCATGCTTGAACTTCATATTGTGCAATACATACAAAATAAAATAACTCATTCATATTTTATGCTTATTGGAATAGTAGCATCATTCCAATCCAATCCTTTACTATTCTTGTAATTAATACACCTACACCTATAGTTTTTAATAAAAATTAGTTGAGCGTGAGCTCAGTTTAACTCGAATCATTAAAGCTTGAACTTATTTAGTTAACATAGTTAAAACTTAAAAATATATATTGTTATATTTTTTTTAATTAGCATAATAAAGTATTGAGCTGAAGTTTGAGCTCAACTCTTTTACATCTCTCTCTATATATATATATATTTTGTACAGAGAAAGAGGCTAAAAACACTAGGCTAACATTCTACGGGGATATGACACCCTTATATTATCGTGATCAATCCATGAGCATATCCCGGTCAGTAGGAACTCTAGACGATGGAGCCCAATCGGATATAAGTCCGCTAAGCTCGTCAAGCGATCAGCTGCAAAATTAGCTTCACTATATTATTGACCTATGTTATTTAAATACTTTTTATTTCATCCCATTGAATTAAAATTTAAAAGATGTTCAAAATTATCTAAAACAATTATAAGCCCATCATTAGCTTACCCAATAGGCCAATACTCAGCCCACCATGTAATTATCCAGCCCAGACCTTCTCCCCTATCACCCCTGCTAAAACCCTGATTCACAATCCCTTTGTGTGCCTCTTTTACCAGTCACCACAACGAAAACGGGTCCGGTTTACAGAACCTCGGAACCCGACCCGATAACTTAGCAACCATCCCTTTCTCTCCCATCATTCGTGGCCATTTGTGTTCCTCCAAACCATAAACTCTCCCGGGTCTCATGGCCCCGCCGTCACCACAACCTCTTCTTAAATCTCCCTAAAACCCTCGATTGTTTTTTGCTCAAGAAAACAAAAACAGAACTAAAAGTCCAGATTTTATATGGACATGAGAAGATTGTCGGTCCAGAAAGCCGCCGCCGCGAGCAACGCCGCCGCCGCAGTACTCTTCCCTCCGATCAAGCGACCCCTGACGGTCTCGCCTCATTCCCTGCCGAAACCCGGAAGCCCGGCGCCGGAAACGCCGGAAGTGGGCCTGGGGCCGTCGCATACCAAGGCCGCACCACCTGGGCCGGTTCCATTTGATCGGAAAAGCCTGTCTTCGATTCTGTCAAGCTCAAATTTGAATTCTTGCAACTGTGGTGATCTGCTGAGCAATTTGGGCCCACACCAATTTGATTCCCTCTTCTGGGAAATCCACAAGTACGTTGATCCTTCGACCACATTGAAGTTCTTTTACCTGGCCTGCAGTTCGTACGGATATAGATTCACGCTTAGGTCGTATAGTGTCCTGTTCCACTTGTTAGTCTCTAAGAATCTTGATTCAGCTGCGAGGCTGTTGTTGATAAGGTTGATTGATCGGAAGTTGCCTATGACTTTGCCGGATAGTAATGTGAAGCTGCACAGACAGATTTCATCAGTTATGGCAGACACTCTACTGAGTTCGGAGAAACTCCGGAACGAGGTTAGAGGATTCGATATTTTGGTTCATGTTTATGCCAGTGAATTCAAGTGTTTGGGGTTAGATGTTGCTGTTGAAGTGTTTAGGATTTTGTGGGGTCGAAGGGTATTTCCATCCTTCAAGACATGCAACTTCTTGATGACCTCACTTGTTAAGGCGGGCAAACACGGGGTAAGTTACGAGGTTTTTCTTACTATTTCCAATGCATCTTTGCCGGACGTTTACTTATACAGTACTGCAATAAATGCATTGTGCAAAGGGGGCAGAGTTAACGAGGCATTGGCGTTGTTTAAGCAAATGGAGAATGTAGGTGTTGTTCCTAATGTTGTCACTTATAATAACCTCTTGGACGGGCTTTGTAAATGTAAGAGCTTTGATGATGCATTTCAGCTCAAGGAGAGAATGCTACATGAAGGGGTTAAACCTACTATCGTGACCTATGGCTTGCTTATTAATGGCCTTATGAAAGTCGAAAAATACGATAAAGCTGATTTTGTTCTGAGAGAGATGTTGGAAAAAGGACTTGTCCCGAATGTTGTAGTTTATAACACGCTGATTGATGGGTACTGTAGGATGGGAAATATGAGAAAGGCCCTGAAGTTGAGGGACGATATGTTATTACGAGATCTTATTCCGAATTCGGTTACCTATAATACTCTTGTAAATGGTCTCTGCAAGGATAACCAAATCGACTTGGCCGAACAGTTGTTGAATGAGATGGTGATGGGAAGTTTCAGCATAAATTTAGGCACCATGAGCTCTGTTATTCACGGTCTGTGTAAAAACTCGAAATTTGACCCTGCTTTGAAATTCATGGTCCTAATGATCTTCAAGAACATAAAGCCTAACGATGGTTTGCTGACAACTTTGATGAGAGGACTTTGCCGGGCCAATAAGCACGCACAGTCCCTGAACCTATACAATATGCTGCGTGATAAAGGATTTGCAGCTAATACTGTGACCTCAAACGCACTTGTTCTTGGATTATGTGAGGCTGGTAAAATGCAAGAGGCTATACTGTTTCTCAAGAGTATGCTGGACAGAGGTGTTGGATTAGACACTTCTACTTACAATGCACTCATTTACGGATGCTGCAAAGAGGATAGGATCGAAGTCGGGTTTAAGCTAAAAAACGAAATGTTCGAACGAGGAATTCCACCAGATATCATGACTTACAACTTGCTGATACATGCGCTGTGTAACAAAGGCAAAATGGACAAGGCTCTTTTGCTGTGGCACGAATGCAAGAAAAAGGACCTCGTTCCTAATGTACATTCGTATGGGGTTATGATAAATGGATTCTGCAATTCGGAGAACATCGAAGAGGCTAAGAGATTCTTCCATAATTTGCTGACTCAGAATATCAAACCGAATTCGGTCTTGTATAATACGCTCATTAGAGCGTGCTCTAGGAACGGTAACATGCAAGAAGCTCTTAATTATTTCAGTGACATGAAAAATAAAGGCATCCCTCGTACTCTTGCCACGTATTCTTCTCTAGTACATGGAATGAGTAGTGTTGGCCGAATAGAAGAGTCGATAAATTTGCTTGTCGAGATGAGAAAGGAGGGTTTGGTGCCTAATGTTGTATGCTACACTGCACTAATCGATGGTTACTGTAAATTAGGCCAGATGGATAAAGCCAGGGGTGTTTTAAACGAAATGTCTGCACTCAACCTAGAGCCTAACAAGATAACATACACTGTTATCATCAATGGGTACTGCAAGATGGGTAATTTAAAAGAAGCTTCTAGGACTCTTGAGGAAATGGTGAGCAAGGGTATTACTCCAGATTCGGTGACTTACAATGTGTTGACACACGGGTTCTGTAAGGAAGGTGCAGTGAAAGAAGCTGTTAGCTTGTGGGATTCCATGTCTGATAGAGGGGTGCATTTAGATGAAGTTGGTCATACTTCATTGGTACATTGCATGTCTAAGCAGAAAGGAAATGAAAATGACTGATCCTGGTACGCATTAACTTTTTGAATCTGTTATGTAATGGTGTGATTCAAGAAAATCTGTTGTAGATGTATAAATTTACAACATTTTTTTTTAAGGAAATTACGTAGATTTTTACATAGTTTTCACTTGTTTTGATGGTCTTGTGTTTGTTTTCTTTCTTTAAAATATTATGCCAATATTGTCCGGTCACTTGTTGGGTCTTTTAGATGCCTTGAAATATGAGTTCCGAATTGGATCGTATAAAACAAACGTGCAGGGAGAAAAATTCAAATTCTTGAAGTATGAAGAAGTAAAGCATTTACTTATGCAGTTAAGAGTCATCTTATGTTGAAACGTAGCTGTTTTTTTTTTGAATCAGACTAGCCTTCTTTATAATGAATCTTGTAAATATTATTGAATTTTTTCATGTCAAATAGTGACAGCTTTGCAGAACACATACGTTGGATGATCCCACAAACTTCAGAATATATTTATAAAGTATCTGACTCTTGCCTGGCTCACATTGAATGCTCTGTGTATGAGCGAATTCCTGCAAACATGGAATCTGAAGGTATTATGTTCTTCTCTAAATGCGTCGTCATGCTTTGAATGAAGATATGTCTTCGTTGGCTTTGAGTATTTAATATTTTTGAAGAAATGTACTTAGTGGGGCTGCGTAGAGGGTCGAAGGGGATTTAATTTAAAACTAAATGTTTCCTAACAACTAGATTAGACACATACAGTTGTTCTAAAATTGTTGGAATGAGTTACAACTGGTTGAAATTCTTTTTTTTTTT